AAATAAGATAAACTTTGATGTCACTCACTGGCTTACTGTAATAAATCTTGATTATTATACCATCTCCCAAGAACACCTGACATTAGTTTTTCTTTTCTAGACATCAGTAATCATTCTTGCTACTCTAAGGGCATTTACACATCACGTGTTTTAGGAGGTTGGAATGATTTCAGTAGGTGTGATCAAGAACCACAGAACTGATAACTCATAAAGGGAGAAATGACAATCGAGTTATGACAGTAATGATATCATTTCGAAAGTCCTTTAATCAATATAAAGATTACTTGAGGCAAATTACTACACGAATTGCAGCTACAGTTCAATCAAAGGATATTTTTGTTTTAGAATTCCGTTAACATTTAACAAGTATTAATTAAGTGGGGCATTGTGTTAAATGCCTCGGGACACACAAGACAGTCTTTATCCTTCAGGTCCTGTGTGTACACACGCATCAAACGTTTTTTAAAAAGGCACTACACGATTTAGTACCAAATCAATACATGGCATAGGGTTAGAAGATGTATGAGGAGATGATAAGTCTAACAGGAGGGGAAAAAAGAGGAGACCAATAAAATAATGTGGTTTAATATGCTGTGTCTAAAAGGATGAGCAGGGATTGGGTATGAGGTAAGAATAGACAAAAAGAAGTCAATTTCAGGCCCAGCAGGTGGTATGGTGGGAAAGGCATTGGAGACTCCTACATGGTCAACTGCGGTTTGAATCCCAAACCCGGTGGCTTGAAAATCATGCCAGAAGTGTGTGCATGTGTGCCCCAAATCCCAAGAGGAGACTGGAGGAGAAGGGATTATAGTTTGGCTATTCCCCTGGGGCATGATTTCTCAGGATCCCTCTGTCTTTCTTCATCTCTCTCCGTGAGCACATATGCCCTATGGAAATAAGAAAGTCAATATGACATCAGAAACAAAGAGTCTTCCTTTGTCCCATGAAGGGCGGAGGTCACAGAGCTCCAGGATTTCTCTCTAAGGTAATACCCATCCTGACTCTTTGTTCTAGTGGATGTGTAAATTTGCATGTATCTTCAACTTTACAACTAAAAACAATCATGTCAAAGTGAATTCACATACGACTTCTATCAGAACAAATTTTATAATTAGGTAGTTACTTTAATCATTTATTGAGGGGAAATGGAAAAAAATTGGTTCAAAGTAGATTTAAGAATCTTAAGTAATCTGGTGATATATGGGAATCACAGAGGGACGAAAAAGACTGAGGTCAGACATGAGGCTTGGGTTTCCTTTTTTTTTTTTTCTATAGGGCGTGTGCACTTGCCAGAAAGACGGAGAGACAGAAAGTGAGAAATCACTCCCTGGCGGGATGGCCATGCCGCAATCCTTTCTCCTCCATTCTCCTCTCAGGATCTTGGGCATACATGCACATGCACCCGGCATGAGTTTAAGCCCCCGGGTCTGGGACTTGAACTGCAGTCAACTACATGGGAGTCCAGCGACATAGCCATTACACCAACTGCTGGTCCCGAGGCTTGGGTTTTCTCATCTGTGGAAACATGCACTATGTGATATCCTAGGTCCCCTGCAGCTCCCACAGCTCATGATTCCACAATGCTCCAATCGCAGGTACAAGGTCTCTCAGCAACTCAAGATAAATGGATCTGTTCTCAGCTACAGACTACAGGAACTACTCATGGATATAAATTCCTTGGAAATTTGAGGGGTTACTTTTACTTGGTCATCTGAGCAAACATCTATGCCTGGTTGAAAATAACATTATTTTTACAAATGTCCAATGACCTTTTATTTACACGAGTCACTAATTTGAATCTATTACCTCTAGTGAGGTAAGTTAATGGAATTGCCAAGGAAATGCTCAGGCCCGTGGGGAGCCATGGACTGCAGGTAATGGGACAGGCAGAGCTCGACCCCTGACCATTTCAAAAGGCGCAAGCAATAAAGGGGCTCCACTGCACGCACCTCCGTGGGCCAGGGTTGGTGGCTGTGGGACTTCTTGATTGGGTTATTCTCCCTTCCTACATAGATGGCTGTGAGCAGGACCTGGAGCCCAGTGCAAAATGAAAATGCAGGGCTCCTCATATGAAAATTAGTAAGAATGTTCAGAGTGGGCAGAACAGTAGGCCAAGCGGAGGTGTGGGGCTGTCTTTGCTGTGGCACAGATTACGTAGCCATGAAGTTAACCACATGCCCTGTGTGATGTGTGTTATTCTCATCAGAAGCTGAGGGAAGTTAGAGTAAAACCAACAGTGTTACTTTCTTTCCCCCCCACCCCGCCCAGAGAGATTGTTGCTATAGGGCATGTGTGTTTGACGGAGAGACAGCAAAAAATCACCCCCTAGGGGTACAGCCAAACTGCAATCTTTTCTCCTCCAGCTCATCTCAGGATCTTGGGCATACACACACATGCGCCTGGTGTGAGTTTCAAGTCGCCAGGTCCGGGACTTGAACTGCGTCGACTCCATGGGAGTCTAGCGATGTAACCATGACGCAGTCTGCTGGTCTCCCAACAGTGTTTTTAAGATGCCTGCTTGTAGCCAGTCAACAGTGGTGAAAGACACAAAAAATAGCATGCTTTGTGCCTTTGTGAAATCATTTGGTGCGTGCGATAGGATGCTCTGCTGGGAATCAACTATAGAGAAAATGGTTAAAAGCGAGATGCCACAAAACAGGTATGCAGGAAAGACGAACAGATAACTAGAAATTAAAGCCAGAAAAAGAAAATAGAAGGCAAAGCGTTAAAACTTACGTTTGGTCCTGAATGAAGTTTAGATTTGGAGAGAAGATAGGGGCTGAGTAGCCGGGAAGAAAGTGAAAAGCAGGAGTTATTTAACCATCCTTTAGCAGAGGCCAGAAGAAGTAGGAAATAGTTCTAACAGGTCTGATCAGAAGGAAGGAGAGCAATCATTCCTCTACCCCGTGTGGACTACAAACCACATTTACCTGTTTCTGACCACTGGGTTAGCCACTCTCTTTTAAGGGCTAAGAAGCAACGTGACATCCCTACTTGGTAGCTGCTGGCTCAGAGAGTGATGGGACCACAGCTACATGTCCCAAACCCACCCTTCCAGTCACAAGAACCCATGGCCCACTGGGTCCCCACGATGGAGGTTCTCCTCTGCTCTTTTCTCCTCACCCCAGGAAAATGACATTGTGAGTGCACAGCAGAGGCAGAGCAGATGCTCCAACATGGCCAGCCTTCTCAGGCTTTGGAAGTCTACACCTGAGAGCAGCCCAGCTCGGCTTCCCCAGTTAGCAAAGTCAGCACTTGCAGAAAGGCACAGAGGATGTGCAGAGGCTGGGCAGGAAGCAGGAGAAGATACTGCTGGGGAGAAGGGCAGAGTGAAGCACTGTGGTCCCAAGGCGTCTTTCTCAGGGGTATCATCTGCCTGTGGTGGGTCCTTGCTCTTAAGGACGACCACCCAGCAAGGAACAGCTGCTCCCCCCGCCACCACTTGGCCCCAGATGGCAAAAGAGCAGTCAACTGAGGACTCACCACAGGCCAATGATTTTCTTCTGGTCTGGGGACTCAGTCTCCAAGGATGGGGAAGAGCAGGGGGCTGTTGGCGACTTGCAGACTTTCTTTTTCTCCTCCACACCATTTTCAGCCTCTGAGCTGGAGAAGAGAGAAAAACGCTTCACCTTAGACATCCAGGAGGTGGTGGAAGGGAAGTCGATGGAATGATCTTGCTTTCTGGAGAGTGGCGTGATCCTCAATCCCCACCAACAGGCTCGTCAACTTTGACAACAGTGTCCTTTCTCAACCTCCATCCTAACCCCTCTCTGCTGGCGCCACAAGGGCAGTAGCTGCAGGTCACGCCTACCTCCCTCGTAAGTGTCCAACAGTGTGGGGACTGGCCCGCCCAGGTCTGCCGTGGGCTCTGAGCTGCACTGCCCTGTCTGGGCGTGGGCGTGGGCTGGGGCAGCAGATCACCTGGAGGCTGGGAGGGCCCCTGCACACACACATGCTCACAAGAGGCCTCCTGCAGGTGTGAGCCTTTCTGGGAACCCCCTCCCCCCTTTGTTTGCACTTCTCTTATGTCACTTATCACCTTTTGTTGTAGTTATGTGGGTCCCATTGGGATGGGTGTTATTTTAGGCAAGCACTTCCCTAAGCAGTGTGGTCTCTATTACCCTCATTTTACAGATGAGGAATCCCAGGCTCTCACTGAGTATCTTGTGAATTCAAACTCAGTTCTGTCCATCTGTAAGGCTTGAGTCCTCTCTCCCTTTCTCTCTCTCCCCCCATCTAATTCCCCAACTTCCCAACCATCTACCCATTTATTTATCCTTCTTAGCTTCTCAGCGTGAGAGCTCAGAGTGGTGTGAGAGTTAGGACCAGTTGGTTTTGGAAAAACTAGTCTGACCTTGGCAAAACAGGGAGGGCCGTGGAATGGAGCGGGGGGGGTGAGGAGAGGGCTGGGCCACAGACCACTAACCACGAGGACGGAGGATGGTCAGCTGGTGGATGCAGACGAGGGCCCCTCAGTCTGCCATCCAATACCTCTTGGCAACGGGGGAAACCTTTTCCAATGTGAGAAGAGGGAGAGAAAGAAATACTGAAGGGCGAAGTCAGGGTGTTATACACGGATCAGACAACCAGACCAAATGAGGTGTCAGCCTGCACAGCAAAACCTGTTACAGGACATACATCTGAGCCCAGAACCCCTGGGTGGCTGAGCATAACGTAAGGCATATTAAGATGACATTGCTTTCTCATTTTCCCTTTCTTTCTCTTGCTCTGTCCCTTTCTGGTCGAATTAAAAATAAATAAAAAAATAAAGTTAAATGAAATAATTCTTAAAAAAAAAAAGAGAGAGATGACATTGCTACTGCCGATTTGCTCATTCGAATCCTACTTTATCACCTCTTTGGAATTTTCACTTGCATGTGACCCACAGGCAGTAATGCTAGTGGTCAATTTCAGCCAGGAATGCTAGTGGTCAATATCAGCTTTGTGCTTGCTTGCTTACCATCTTCCACAGCGTGTGAAGTTGCAGCCCACCCTGAGAGTCCCACTGCAGCGTCAAAGTCAACAAGAACATCTGGCAAAGGTAACTAACTAATAATTCCTACATGGTTGACACTCTCATCTGCAGTCAGCCTTTCTCTCTTTTCCTAAAAGATAACTATTGGAGGTCAGAGGCCCAGCCTTCAACTTCTCCAGTTCTTCTCAAAGCACTTGTATGATGGGGCTTCCAAAAAGTTCATGGAAAATGGAATTAAGGTATCAGTTCATTCTGGAGGAAAAGAAAAAAAAAAACCCTAAAATCCATGCATAGTTTTTCATAAAATGCATTTTTCATGAACTTTTGGAAGACCTCCTCTTGTGCATGTACAGGGACCAGCCCACGAGCGAGTTGTATTTAGGTGACAAATGGTACATGGAAGGCTTTGTAAAATATTACAAAGGAAGATGCTGCTTTGGTTTCAAATCGAATAACTGCATTTTATTTAAAGTGAGCATCACGTTTAATTTAGGGATTCAAAGATTTTGAGAACTGTTAGAGGCCTTAAAGAATATCCCCCCCCACTTCTTTTTCCCTGTCCCCTAAGACAGACACATTTCTCTTATTAGTCTTCAAAAGCATCAGGCAGAAGTGTACTCTTTAAGTAGGAGACGGTGTGGAATTCAATAATCCACCTCAGAATTCATTCAGGTAGTCGCTGAATTTTATGCAGGGTTGCAGGGTCAGATTAAGACTCGGAGCTGTAGCTCTCCTCTGCAGGACCTTTGTGTGCACAGGAAGGGTCGCTTCTGCTAAGAACCACTCAGGAAAAGCAGCCCTCCTGATACACACCCAGGCAAAGGGTGCCTCTTGCTCTGGCAGAAATGGCAAAGCTTGGGCTGGCTTTCAGTCCCTCCTGGACCCTCACCCTTTTTCTTCTTCTTTTTTTTTTTTTTTGGAGAGGTTTTTGCTATAGGGCGCGTGCGCTTGCCAGACAGACAGAGAGAGACAGAGAGAGAGAAAGCGAGAAATCATCCCCCAGAGGGGATGGCCACGCCGCAATCCCTTCTCCTCCATTCTCCTCTTGGGATCTTGGGCACGCAAACACACCCGGCATGAGTTTAAGCGACCAGGTCTGGGACTTGAACCGTGGTCGACTACATGGGAATCCAGCGACACCGCCATTACGCTAACTGCTGGTCCCTTCTTCTTTTTTTATAACTTTAAAAAAACAATTATTTAATTTATTTACTGTTATTATTTTAAAATTTGCCACAAGGCATGTGTAAGAGAGAGAGGGGAGGGGGACGGGGAGAGAGAGAGAGAGAGAGAGAGAGAGAGAGAGAGAGAAAACGCCACCAAATTTGGGATTGGAACTGCAGTCAACCATGTAGGAGTCCAGTGCCTTAACAACCCTGCCACCTGCTGGCCCTCCCATCCCCCCTTCTTGATCAGGGACTTTTGTGCAGTGCAGGGTCCTGAGTGCTTACCCACATGTGGGGTCCTGTTTTAGGGCCCCCACTTGGCACTAAAAAGATGGATTATAAGGTATGATTCTGTATCGTGTCCCCCAAATGCTGTCATTCCATGACAGGACACACAGGTGTGCTCGAGTTAAAACAGCCTCTTTTCAGATGCTTTTTGCCTCACTTTTTCCTCCTTTCTTCTCTCCTCGCTTCCTCTGTCCCTCTCTCCCTCCCTTTTTTTTCTTTTTGCCAGAGGGTGTGTGTGCTCCCTAGAGGGAAAGCGAGTGC